GCAATTATGGAGATTATCCATAATGGAAATAGCATCTATGAAATTTCCTTTCATGTGATATTGTGCGTGTGTTTGCATAAGTAGGAAGTCACCAACATGTCTGAGGTGGTTGGATTCTGGATGACTGTTATTTTTAATATGGTATCATTCATATTCTTTATAAAGAATATATGTTATTCATATCAGGAGGAAAACTTTTAGATGGGGGAAAAACTGACACAGAAGGGCTCAGAGACATACACTGTGTAGCCACTCTCAGACTTAAGAATACCTGACCTCTCCACATGTATAGCCCATTTAGTGTTTATCAGGAAGAGATGTTTCCATTGTGTCTTACTGTCAGTTGACCAGTTAATTCTGTTATCTATTGATTTGATCACAGAATCTACTTAAATGTTTTTGAGGTTTGATTTGGAAGCTTTTCTTTTGTAAATCTTTTAGGCAAAAATTATGTGTTCCTCAATATGCAAATGTGTTGGCTGTAAGAATTTTGAAGAAAGCCCGGAAAGAAAGACACTGATGCACTTGGCAGATGCAGCTGAAGTAAGGGTACAGCAACAAACAGCAGCGAAAACGAAGTTATCTTCTCAAATTTCAGACTTGCTTACCAGGCCAACACCAGCTTTGAATAGCGGAGGAGGAAAGTAAGTCAATATTTTAATCTCCTTTTGCAGTACAGTAGGACTATATATATGTCTCCTTTTTGGACAAAATTGAGTTCATACTTTTGGTTGTAGCAGACTTCTTTTTGCATTTTCTTTCTATCTTTAGTTACTTGGAAAGGAATTTGAAGGTAACAGAAAAACCACTGTCAGATATAGTACACACTGAAAATGTACAGTAATGCATTAATTCACTGGGCTTATTAATTTATTGAATTTCTCCCTACTAAGATGAGGTCATTATGTAATTTGACAAACCCCTAAGAAAACAAATTTTTATATCTGTTCCTGGTAGTATTATTCATAATTTTGCACATTCTTAACTTCTCTTGCCTTTCTTGGGCCCTTGTGGCACTTTGCCCTTCTACTGGAACACCTTTCACACACTTTGTTATTGTAGCCCCTTATTTCACAAGACTGCTGAACTCTGAAGGAGGAAGGCTTGAGCGTAAAGTTTGGCTGAGCTGAGTCTAAATGTGCTCTGTAATAGTTTATGAATTTAACAAGCACTCCCTTTCTCTGAGTCTTGGTTTTCTCATCCTTCCCATCAGCCTTATGAAGTGGCTATAAGGAATAAAACATCTCTGTCCCAGCGTTTGGCAGGGCCTCATGCTGACGTGGATTTACAGGTTTTGGTAGAGGTTAATTTGAGGAATTATTAAATGCAATGAGCCTTGCAAATGGTATATTATTTAAAATGCTTAAGTTGAAATAGGCTCTAATGCTTATAGAAATGCTTCTTTTTTTAAAAAAAAATAAAGATTTAGGGACACCTGGGTGGCTTAGTGGTTGAGCGTCTGCCTTTGGCTCAGGGCATGATTCCAGGGTCCTGGGATCAAGTCCCACATCGGGCTCCTTGCAGGGAGTCTGCTTCTCCCTCTGCCTGTGTCTCTGCCTCTCTCTCTGTGTGTGTCTCTATGAATAAATAAAATAATAATAATAATAAATAAAATAAAATAAAATAAAATAAAATAAAATAATAAATAAAATAAATTATTTTTCTGGGCAGCCCAGGTGGCTCAGCGGTTTAGCGCCGCCTTCAGCCCAGGTTGTGATCCTGGAGACCCGGGATCGAGTCGGCTCCCTGCATGGAGCCTGCTTCTCCCTCTGCCCGTGTCTCTGCCTCTCTCTCTCTGTCTCTCATGAATAAATAAAATCTTAAAAAAAAATAAAAATAAAAAATTAATAAAATTATTTTTCTGAACAGTGTTGTGTTTTTTTGTTTTTTTTTTTTGTTTTTTATTCATGAGAGACAGGCAGAGACACAGGTAGAGGGAGAAGCAGGCTCCATGCAGGAAGCCCAACGCGGTACTCGATCCCGGGACTCCAGGATCACACCCTGGACCGAAGGCAGTGCTAAACCGCTGAGCCATCCGGGCTGCCCCTGAACAGTGTTTAAAAAATACGCTCAGTCATAAAACCAGGGTCTTTTTAAAGCTCTTCAGGATGTGTTTGTGCTCCCGGCACAAATTGTAATGCTCGGCATGCTGTTGAATCATGAAAACGTCAACAGATTTTTCACTTGAAATAATGTCATCCGCTTTTGTTGTTCAACACCATCATCATCTTTCTCTCTCAAAAATCATTTCAGATTGCCATTTACATTTGTAACGAAGGAAGTAGCGGAAGCCACGTGTAATTGCCTTCTTGCCCAGGCAGAGCAAGCAGACAAGAAGGGAAAATCAAAGGCAGCAGCCGAACGGATGATACTTGAGGAATTTGGACGATGTTTGATGAGCGTCATCAACTCTGCAGGAAAAGCAAAAAGTGACCCTTGTGCCATGAATTGCTAACTCTTGCACAAAATACTGATAAATGGAACTGTACAGAAAACTGAAGGTGCAGGGACACTTGATTTTCTGGAAAATAGTTTAACCATTACTGTATTGTTAATTCAGTCCTTGTGAGACCTGAAATTATAATATTGAAAGACGTGAAATTTTAAATGAGGAAATTAGTACATTTTAAATTTTAGTTAAACCTGTTTGTGCCCCTTCTAAATTGTTTTTCTTTATTGTTTTATATGGATTTTTAATTTGCATGGGTTTCTTAAGAATTAGATGTTCTATCCTTCTGATTCTATTGACAAAGGACATTTATAAATTACTGTAATTTATAACGTATGGTGTTGTATGACTTTGTTCCAGTAGAAAAAGCCAGAGGACCATTGGTATTACCCAATCATTCTCTGGCACTAGACCTAAGCAGATAGAATGTCTATATAAACAAATTCTTATGAAACATACTCAAATGACGTTTTGTGCTTAGAAAAGCACTATCTTTTGACGAAATACCAGCTTTTTTTAGCACAGATTCTGGAATAACATCCTATTGTCACTTTGGGAATGTCAGAGGGGAAGTAAGTAATCTGTAGGCACACTTTTAAAATAAAAAAGGTGTTTTTTTAAAAAACAAAGTGTTGAGGGACAGTAAAAAGTTATCAATAGGCAATGTGTTTCTCTAACAAAGGGAGACTAAGAAATGCTCTAGGGGTGTTTCCATTTTCTTTGAAGGAGGTGGTGTGCATTTGAAATGATAATAAATTGTCAACGTGATTACTGGGTACTATTAAAAGTGAGGTGCATATGAATAGAACTTAATATTATTATGTAGTAATGATATAGAACCTTACATAATTATCAGGTATAAAATTTGGCTTGGATGGAGAAATAAAGAACATTGAAGCTCTAATAGATGAAATTAGGGAAGGATTTTTCATCTGTACAATTCTCCTTATAGACTTTTGAACTAAGAGGTCTCAATCCAATGTATGAGTCTTACTTGATTTACTGAAAGGGCCTCCTAACAAAGCTTTCAAAATTATAGTGGGATTTCTTTTTTAAGGAAAGCTTAATATGGCATTATTTTTAGCCAGTGATTTGATAAGCTGAAGGTATGAGTGTTTTCTTATTATTACTAAAATAACCTAAATCATCTTTTCCTAATTTAAAATTCAAAAGCTTTATGAATTTAAGAGCCAATAATAGGACTCTGGGTTTTATGACAAGAAGAAACCATGTGTTGGAATTCAGGCATTTTGTTAGGTACCGTAATCATCAGTAATTATTAGTATATGATTATTACATTTCCTACAAGGAATCTATAGTTGTATGTATTAAGTGTGTATATATGTTCATATGAACACACAAGATATAGGCAATAGAAATTAAGTAATGCAAAAGAAGATTCCGTTATTTACTGAAGTATCTTACTTTTGAAATTTGGATTTATAAAACTATAGTGCAGTAACTCTAAATGTAGATAGTGCAGAAATTCTTAGCACCTCAATCTAGTATGTTTAATTAAAATTTGTATAAATGTAAATTAGTGTAAGAGGATAAAATATCTAATCAAGTTATTTTTCAAAAGATTACCTTTTTTGGTCTAAACCTAAACTTTGTTCATTTTGTACATATTCTGTGTTTAACTCTAATTGCACCTTTGTGATGTGTATTTATATACAGTGTGCAGAAAATGTTTGTGAAATTTGGATTACAATTGTAGATTATGTATGACAGCATTGCCTGAGAATGTTTTGCTTGTAAAAACTTGAAGGTGCAATCAAATGCTACTAGTTTTTCTGATTTTCAAGAAGCTATCTAAAGTATTAAGACTTTTCCTTCCTGTGTAGTACTTACTAAGCAACTTTTTGTATTTAGGCATTTGCATCAAATTGCTGAACAAGATTAATATCCACATTAATTCAACAATTTTAAAAGACTATTTGGGAGGGTTGGGTATATAATTTTTTTAGCTCTATTTACATCCCAAAGTAGAAAGATTAAATTTATATTTACTAGAGCTATTCAAAGAATACACTTTTCTATATTGTAAAAACAGGACAGCAAAGTAAATCATACAGAAAATAAACATTTATACTATTCTGTAAAAAAAAAAGGATTTTGTTTTTCTTTAAAAACACTTAATTATCTTACAAGAAACTTTTAAAATCTTTTAAGTAAATTTGACATTACTTTTGAAAGCACACAACTAAAAAATGTCTTTTTGCCCAATTATGATTAATTGAAATTGCTTTAAAACTAGAATGTCTCTTTTTCTGCTGTTCAAAGGCAGAAACTGAGTCTTTTTCCTGTCCTTTAGTATTTGATGTTTTTGTGGTAAGCACCTTTCTTAGCTTCCTTTTCTCTCAAGAACTTGAAGCAACCTGTAGGTCTTATCTCTGGATTATCTGGGAAACAGAACCTTCAAGTTGCAGTAATAAAACAACCAGAGCAGCAACAGTAGGGAGAGACTACTGCTTTAGCTTACCTATTCTTTTATGGGGACAACTGACATTTTCTCAGTCTTCTGTAAAATGTGAATAAAAATACCTTTAGAAAAGTTTTCCACTTTTATTGTTCTGTAACACAAATAGCAAAGAAAATAAATACTTGTTATGTAAATGCAGCTTCGAACCAGGACCTCTAGCATCATGTTGCATCCTTTTCCAGCATTTTACGTAGAAATTCCATGGCAGCAACCCAGAGGAGAGGGAAGCTAGAAGCCTTTACTGTTGGAGTTATTTTCTATTATGTCAATTACTTAGGACTTTGTATGTTTGTGAGGATTTCTTTAACGTAGATTTTGTCATTATCCATAGGCCATATGTGGACTTTTTATGAATGAACCAAGGCTTTTTAAATTAAAATTTTTAAAGTTTTGTCTTTACTCAAAAGCAGTAAGAAAATAAATATATTCAGGGTAATATTTACTATAAGGCCATAGACTTCAACTCTGTAATTGATTATATTATCAAATGAAATCTGGCAATAGGTAAAAAGAATGCATCATGATCTGGTAGGTTTATCCCAGGAATAAAAGGTCGACTCAACATTTAAAAATAATCAATGTAATTCACTGAATCAAAATACAAAAGAAGTAAAACTATATGATCATCTCAGAAGTTACAGGAAACCTTTTGAATATACTAAAAACTGCTGAATTACAGGCTTTAAAAGGGTGAATATTACAGTATGTAAATTATATCTCAAATGGTTTTCAAAGAAAATTGAAAGGTGCGGAAAAACTGACAAAATTCAAGACCCATTTATGATTTAAACACATACACTCTTCAGCAAACCAGGAAGAAAAGGGAGTATCAGCTAGAAAAGACCAATTTATCAAAGTCTACAGCTAACATCATATGAATGATGAAGACTGAATGTTTCCTCCTCAAAGACAAGAAGGCACTCTTAGTCAACATTGTGTTGCAGGTCACTGTACAATGAGGGGAGAGCAGGTTGGAAAAGAATGAGAATGTCTACTGGTGGATAATGTGACTGCCTATATAGGAAAGTCATGGTGATCTTTAAAAAAAAAAAAGCTGCAGGAACCAGTGAGTTTAAGCAAAGTCAATATATAAAATTGTATTTTCACATAGTAGCAATGACCATTTAGAAACAAATTTTACATTACCATTTATAGTAGCACCACAAAACATGTAATGTGACCAATTTATACAAGATCTTTAGGTGAAATGTAGAACACCTTGATAAAATTAGAGAAGACCTTAAGAGATATACCATGTTCATGGATTGGTATGTTCAATATTATTAAGATCTCATTTCTCCAAATTGGTCTTTAGTTTCCACAAAGCTCCAGTCAAAATCCCAGCAGGAGTTTTTGTAAAAATCAACAGCTGATTATAAAATTCATACGGAAAGGTACAACTAGAGTAGCCAAACATTTCTGAATAAAGAACAAAGTTGAAAGACTCCCACCAGGCTTCAAGACTCCTATAAGGCCAATCAGGTCATTGCAGTACTGATGAAGTGTTAGACCTATGGATCAATGGAACAGAACACCCAGAACTAGACCCAATATATATAGTCAGTTTTTGACAAGAGTTCAAAGGTAATTCAGGGAAGAAAGAAGAATCTTTTTAACAGGGTTGGGAGATACATATGTTGAAATCTGAAACTCAACTTATACCATAGACCAAAATTAACTGAAAATGGATCATAACCTAAATGTAAAACCTAAAGCTACAAAACACCTAGAAGAAATAATATAAGAAAAATTGTTGTGGCCTTGGGTTAGACAAAGATTTCTTAGATACAAAACTAAGTATGACCCCTAAAAGAAAGAAATGGATAAACTGGACTTAACAAAATCAATGTCTTCAAAACACTAATAAAAAAAGCCATAGATGCAGAAAATATTTGCAAAACACATCAGATAATGCACTTATATCCAGAATATATAATTAACACTCAACTTAAAAAACTGACCTTCCAAAATATGGGCAAAAGACTTGAACATACCTTTCACCTAAGATTATGTGGATGGCAAATAATCTTATGAAAAATCCTCAGCATCATTAGACATTAGGAAATTGGAAATGAAAGCCACAATGAAATATCACTGAACACCTATTAGAATGGCTAATTCAAAACAAAACCCTGGTGACCAAATACTGGGAAGAAAAGAGAGCAAATGAACTTTCTTATACATTCCTGATTAGAATGCAGAGTGGTATAGTCATTTCACAAAAGCAGCTCTGGCACTTTGTTATAAAGTACAACATACACTTACCGTATTATCCATGTATGGATATCGCACATTTTTATTTATCCATCAGTTGGACATTTAGGCTTTTTCATTGTGTAGCTATAGTGCTATGAAGTTTGTTTACAAGTTTTTAAACGGACATTTTCATTTATCTTGGGTATATATGCCTGTTAGTAGAACTGCTGGGCAATATGGTAACTTTGCATTTAACTACCCTTTTAAAGAACTGCCACGCTATTTTCCAAAGCATCTGCATTCCCACCAACAGTGTATGAGGGTTTCAATTTCTTCACATTCTTGTCAACATTGTTATTGTCTTATATCCATCCCAGTGGGTGTAAAGTGATACCTCATTGTGGTTTTGATTTGCATTTCCCAGATGGTTTATGATGTTGGGTATATATTCATGTGTTTACAGGCCAATGGGTAATCTCCTTTAAAGAATGTCTATTTGTGTTCTTTACCCATTTTTCAAATTGGGTTGTCCATCATTGAGTTACAGTAGTTCTTTGTATATTCTGGGTACAAGACCTTTATCAGATAAATTAGTAAAAATTTTCTCCCATTTTGTGAGTTGTCTCTTTCATGACAGTGTCCTTTGAAGCACAAATTTTTTAATTTTGGTGAAATTTTTGTTGTTTGTTTTCGATGTCATATTTAAGAAACTATTGCCTAATCCAAGTACCAAGGATTTACTTTTTTTTTTTTTTAAGATTTTATTTATTCATGAGAGACACACACACGCAGAGAGGCAGAGAGACACAGTCAGAGGGAGAAGCGGGCTCCACGCAGGGAATCCTATGTGGGACTTGATCCTGGAACCCCAGGATCACGCCCCAGGCCAAAGGCAGACGCTAAACCGCTGAGCCATCCAGGCGTCCCTACTCTGTTTTCTTTTAAGAGTTTTATAGTTTTACCTTTTATAGATAGGTCTTTGACCTATTTAGAGTTAATACTTTTGCATGTGGACATCCAGTTGTTCCAGCACTATTTGCTGAAAAATAGGAAGGATAAATTTCTGAAGAGAATGTTTGTTTTCCCTGAAAAGGACAAAGGTGCTAAGTGGAAAATATAAACTAAACTACCCTAATCAAATATGAATAATTTATTTTAAAAATTCACTGTAAAGCATATCATGTTAAGTAAACCTGATATCAGACTTGAAACACTTTCACTAGGGCAAGAGCAATTAACGGTTCAAGGCAGTGAAGGATATATTTTTGTCTTCCATGTCTGTCCAATTTATCCAGCACTTAAAGAAATAATGCGTAACACTAATTTCTTTAACTACAGAATATATTAGTACAGTAGTACAATGCAAGAGCAAAGAACACAAGACACCTACAGGTATGAACCTAGTTTTAAGTAAAACTCAGGACAAAACTTGGAATTATATAAGCAATAAGTTAAAAGGTAGTGACTTAACAAATAGGCTTCCTTTAAATAAGATTTATCCAGTGCATCTAAACTAATTCTATTGCAACAAAAACCACAATATCTAGACTCCTCAGCAATAGCTCTTACATAAAATGTAGTACAACTCTGGTTACATCTCAAAACTTAAGCCTTTGTTTGAGGTAGAAAAAAACAAATATATCAAAATATACAATTTAAGGGGAATTTCAGTTAATAAAAACTTTCATCTGGTCATTAATCTTTTGCAATTTCAAGTTTTCATATTAACTGTACATGAATATTCACTCAATGATAAAGAGTAAATGTTTTACACACAGAGATGAATCATATGCCTGTTTCTTCTTTTATCCACTTATAACACTCCCCAGATTTTAAAGTACCAATATGTTTTTCTATTCATCTTTTCAAGCCGGGGTATGAGAGAATGGAGAAAATTGTCCTTAGTATGTTTCCATCTTTAGATTATTTAAGCTTCTCTAAATTTCTGAAAACACTCATTATTAAATCAAGACAAATATTTTCATAACCATTGTCTCAAATGGTCATCTTTTTCTAATTTATTAATCACCTGGTGTGAATCCCATTATTCATTCAATACTGAAAATACGTCTATTTCAGCCTCCCTGCAAGCATAAGGAGACTTCGGAAGGAGAAGCTGAAATAAGGCTTCTCCTCATTCTTTGATGGGCATCAGGCTCTTCCAGTGGAGTCAAGTAAGTATCCACTCAATTTTTCAAAAGTAGTATTTTAAAGTCCAAGGACAATGGATTGTGAAAATGATATCACCTATGTACTTCTCAGACTACATTCCCCAGCTTCGCTGCAGCACGCTTCTGTTTTAGGGTAGCCTGGCCAAGGGGTTTTGTGGTCATATTTTATTTTAGCCTAATTTTCAAACCACATCTTAATTTTTATATGTAATAAAAATTATATCCAAGATTTTATAGGTATTCTGTCAACATTTTCAGTTTTTTTCCTGTCAACATTCTCAGAGCTGTAAAACAAAGCTCTTTCAGTCTATTTGTAAAAGTCAATCTTTTAATGACTCTTAGTTGTTATACTCTCTTGTTTTAAGGTAGACTGAACAAGTTCAAAGTAGGTTCCATTATTCAGTCTTATCGTAGTATATTCAAAGGCAGTACCTGTTGGCTAGACTCCTCCTACTGACTTACAGCTTTCTACAAGTAACTGAAATGCTGCAAACCATACCAAAGTGCAAGATTTTATAATATGCATAATCAGAAATTCTAATAAGTCAGAATTACAAACTTGTCAACTATGGTCAATTTATGAGATACGGTAAGTTGAACTTTAAAATAAATGCTGACCAATTATTCTTTATAAAAATTTTGAGACATTTTAGGTCCCTCATTTGAATGGATAGCCATCATTACTTAACAAATGCCTGAATTTATTGGTATTAGCAAAACCTGAACATCTGTAATCTTGTAAAGATGACCACTGCCTCTTTGACAAAGTTTTCATCTCAAGTCTTTCTGAATGGTGTTTTAGAGGGTACTGAGCTACATCTTTAGCTCTGATTTTTAAGAAACAGATTATTATATCCTTTAGTAACTTTACAAAGTGATTGATGGCACACACTTCTCCATCAAAGAGATGCTCATCTAAATCTACAAAAAGATAAATATGCCCAGAAAGCTCACACAATATTTTCTGCTGGAGATATAATTCTCTCTGTTTAGGAAGTAGTTCATAGACTGCCATTCTTGAATGGGTTCTTACAATTCGCTCACAAATATTTATGACTTGACAGAGACTTTCTGAAGGGATATGCAAACCGTTCTTCTTTTTGACACATAACAGTGACCCAATTTTAGCAACTTTGAGATCCGAAGCATACAATGCACTGATGCAGTCCTCACAAGTTAAAAGAGCTGATAACTTATTTGCAACATGACTGGCACAACAGGTGAGTTTTCGCCTGTGATCTGACAGATCAAGTAATGCCTCACTGAGAGGACAATTAGACCAGTCCTGGCAAATATCCTCTTTGTGAAAAACAGTCTTTAGAACGCTGATACCATACTGACGCTGAACTGTCCAAAGGGCCAAGTCTGTCCTTCGATCAATTGAAATGTCAAGGATGCTTACTTCACTTAGAAAAACTTCATCTTGTAATCGGTATCTGGTCTCCAAATTATGGTAAGCTTTCTGGAATGCCACACAGGTAGGGTTAGAACTGGTTACTAATACCTGTCTAAGCATCTTCAGAAATAATTCCAGATGGTCTTGACTGAATTTATAAGTCAGAAGATATGGAAAAGGCATGATTTTAGGGAAAACATAATTCTGGTAGAGCCATTTTAAGCTCTCAGCATTAAGCAAAAATCCCAAGAATCCTAGTTTTCGCTTACCTTTAATTATTTGATTGTTGCTAGCATCCGATAATGTCACAAAGATAGTCTTGGCTTCAATTAATACCCGATTAATTTTACTGTAAGTTTCAGGCAGTAGGGGTCCTTTAAGTCCCTTTCCATAACAGTTCCTACTATTAAAAATGTCAAACAGGTTGTTAACTAAGCGTAAAAAATGGATGGTACCAATACAGTTTTGAAAAGAAGGCAGGCCTAATGACAGCAAGCATTCCAATGCGCTGGCCACGCTGTCACTGAACACTTGGGCTGCACAGTTCATCTTCAGTACATGGTTTTTCAGATTTGCAAGTTTTCTTGGGAGTCTTTCCATATTTGCTAATTCCTGTTCCCCTAGTGCTACTAACTCCACAAGGTGCTGCCAATGTGCTGTGCCATTTATGAAATGAATGCTTTGAAAATTCTGAAATGCATTTCTTATCAATCTGAGTAAGTGGCAAGAATCAAAGAAGTATGCAATCTGTTGACTAGAAGACGAAGGATGCTGAAATGTACACTTCATGTTGTCTCCATCAATATGTATCCCCAATGCTTTTGCCATCTGAACACTGTGAGCTGTAGCATCAGACGTAACAGCCAGAACTGTGATCCCTATGTCACTCAGTTTGCCAATGGTAAGACGCAGCAACTGAGCTTGCAAATATCCGGATGCCCTGTTTACAAAAAAATAACCAAGAGGCGTTCTCCAGTGACCAGAAATACCCACTGCCATTAACAAAATAGTTTCTGAGGCAAGGGGTGTTTCATCGGCATCAAGTATCCCAAGGCCAAAGTCCATAAACCCTTGCAAGTGGTGACTGCTGGGGTCCCATTGAAGTTGTTGCTTGAGAGATATGCCTTTTATTATCAGTGAACAATACTGATATAGCTGGTCTCCATTCTCTACTCGTCGTTGAAGAAAAGAAAAAATGTTGCTGTTGAAACCTGGACTGGGTTTGCATTTGGATAACCATCTGGAAAATATAAAAAATGAAAAATATAAAATTCAAATGAAGAAATTTTTAAAAAAGGAAAAATACCTTAAATGGTACTAAAGTCGGGGTGCCTGGGTGGCAAATTCGGTTGAATTCGGTGGCTCTTGGTTTTGGCTCAGGTCATGATCTAGTGGTCATGAATCCGGTCCACACCAGACCCTATGTTCAGTGTGGAGTTTGCTTCAGATTCTCTCTCCCTCTCCCTCCTGCTCACTCTTTCTCTCAAATGAATAAAATCTTTAAAAAAAAAAATAGTACTAAATATGGCCTCAAATCCTTAAAAAAACAAAGCCAAGTATAAGTAGCCAAATTCTACAGACATTTTCAAGCATGTATTCATATAGTTACCAGAAAATACTAAAATAATGGGGAAACTGAGAAACAGAGTAGTATTTCAAGATGCAAACATACCACAAAGCAATTTTCATTGCTCATTTACTTTTTTTTTTTTAAAGTATACCAATTACCCACTTTGTTCTAATTGATGTGTTTAAAATTTAGATCATAAACCAGTCTTACCTGTCAATTCAATGAAATAAGAAAACTGTTGTAGAGGAAGGAAACTCTGGGAGTATCTAGCACATCTACCCCATTTTACAGGTTAGGAAACTAGGACACAGGAAGAGCTTATGCCACATGGTCCTGGCTGTGCTGCTAGTTCTGTACAAACGTGGAAGCCAGATTTCCTGAGGTCCTGCTAGTGCTTTTCCCACTGCTCCTTGTAGCCTCAAAATTATGCCCTCAGGGACAATTAAGGTGTCTGCATTTGTCTGCCCTACACAGAGTACCTACATTATTACCTCAGGAGTTCTTCTGTAGTGTCCTCAACCCTCCCAGACTCCTGATTATGCACTCCTATTAATCTTAGCATTTGTCTTCAAAATCGTTTTCACACAGTTCTGATTTACTCTTTCTAATTTGTTGTGGGGTCAGGAAAAGCAACAGCCAAGTTTAATCATTGTCTAAAATAAGACTAAATGGATGCTTAAGTAGAGACTGGAGAGTTCACCCTGAGGTCTACTTTTGTAACTTAAGTAACTTTTGGGTTTTTTTGTTTAAGATTTTTATTTAGAGAGAGAGAGAGAGTGCTAGCATGCGGTGGGTCGGAGGCAGAGGCAGAGGGAGAAGACGACTCTCCGCTGATCAGGGAGCCCAATGTGGGGCTCAATCCCAGGACCCTAGGATCATGATCTGAGCTGAAGGCAGATGCTACACTGACTGAGCCACCCAGGTACCCTGGGTAGGGGTTAGTATTTCTGATTTGGGGGCTATATTCTAAGGTGCCAAGGTTTTGTCCTGGACAGTCGACCACTATTTAATTTTTTTTTAAAGATTTTATTTATTTATTCATGAGAGACACAGAGGGAGAAGCAGGCTCCATGCAGGGAGTCCGATGTGGGACTTGATCCCAGGTCTCTAGGATCACTCCCTGGGCCGAAGGCAGGCACTCAACCACTGAGCCACCCAGGCATCCCACTGATTTCAAAATGCACTAATGGGTTTGAAAAACACATTTATAGGATGCAAAAGACATACTTTGACTCTAAGTTGCTTATAACCTATTTAAGAGACAAAAGTATTAATAAAAAAAAAATTTAAGTATCAATCGGTTGTTTATATTTTAAAATAGTAAGATAATGATGAAACAGGTCAGTGCTACAGCCCACTACTATGTTGAATACCCTTTGCAAAGATGCTTCCAAATTTTAACTTTAATTTCTTTTTCTTGCATTAGGATTTTCAAATGAACACCAAAGATGCTTACTGTGTTGCATACGGAATCAGTATGTAATGAAAGTATTTCATGCCTCGATGTAAAAGTTTTTAGTTTAAATAGGCTAAGATAAAGTTTATGTTCTTTGAGCTTGATTTTTAAATAGAAATCTAAATAGTATTTTTATGTCCATAGCTATGAGAATGAGGTCTTGAATATCAGGCAGAAAGATATGTGGCCTTGTTTTTATAAGTTTCTATATCTGAAAATGGAAATACCCAAACCAGGTTTATGACTTAGAACTGTAGAGAAGTGACTGACTTCTGTGTCTAACCTTTCTTCCCTTTTAAAATGAAATTTTTTTTGATAGTAAAAAAAGGCACATTATTTTTTTAAGAGTAAAGCAATACTGAAATGTGCAAAAAGTAATAATCACTTTAATATTTCAGGGACACTCTTCCAGATTTATGTATACACACACACGTAGATACAATTTTTAAAATTTACACTGAATCTTTTTTTTTTTACTTAATAGTAATGTTACAGAAATATTTTTCTGTGTCCTTAACTATTGACTTACAGCATTTTAAATGTGTACATGGTATCCCATAGTATAGTTAAGCCATAAATAATTTACGCTGTTACACTAACCTTTCAACAGGTTATTTCCATTTTTTAGATAACAGCACTGTAACATATACTCATGTGCACATATATACATGTACATATTCCTGTCACTTATGCAATTCCTAGGAATAGGATACAGAAGTAAATCTACTTATGCAAGTATTAGAATAAATGGATTCAACTTTTATAAGAAATTAAAAACAAATTTTGGACCTCCAATGCACAGAATTGGATGAATAAATTTACAATTAATTCACATTCCAATTCTCCTTCACACAATTTTTACCAAAAATTTACATTCTCAACAACATATTTTAAATTAAACAACGGCTTAGTCATGGAGTGATTATAGGGAGTCCACTGGGTGGCTTTAAACTGCCTGGAGAAGAACTGCTGAAGAGCCATGATGCTGAGCTGAGTGTTTTTCAAGACTGTTAGCTCTTCCCATAGTCTTGTTTATCTCTGAATCTCTCATATTACCTTCCCTATTAGAGGGAACTAATTTACTATATTACAATGAATACCTAAATAGAAAGTTAGAGAAAATATAAATATCATACTATAAGTATCATTATTAAAATAAGGAAGGCTGAGGATGTTATGACATTCTTACAAAAGATATGTGAAAACAAACTACCTTCAAGACCCAAAGAACTGGAATTATCTGAAGCACATGTCTGGGAAGGTTCTGGACATAAAGAATTTAAGAGAGAACTGAAAAAGATGCAACATCAGAATACAGCAAATTACAGAAGTGGCTGATAGTGGGTAAGAATTAGAGAAAGATACAACAAGTAGAAATTAGTGAGGGAGGTACCTGTCTGAATCAAAGGTTTTTAAAAATATAAGTCTGGCTTGGTCTGTCATCATCTAATTGTTTATCATATAACTGTCTCTCTGTCATCAATGAGGAAAAACAATGATTCGCATTTTCTCCTTTCTCCCCCAAACTTCTTATGTCTCCTGCCCCAACTCTCAGCTATTATCTTTTTAAGTAAGCTTGCCCAGGGCAGAGCCCAACATGGGGCCTGAACTCACAACCCTGAGATCAAGACATAAGCTGAGATCAAGAGCTGGTCACTTACTCAATGGAACCACCCAGGTGCCCCTCAGCTATTATCTTTATATCACTAAGAAAATAGAAGCAATCCAATAAAACTCCCATTTTCCTACTACCAAATCTGTTAACCTATTGAATGTGTATCTCTGCCTTTCTGCCCCTTGTTTAAATGTTTTATAACAAGCATGTATTACTATCATATTAAACAAGGTATTTTAGTTTCAGACAAAGTTCCAAAAGAAATAATAACTTTTTGAGTACTAAAGTTGTACTAAACAGGGACACCGGGTGGCTCAGTCGGTTAGGCATCTGCCTTCAGCTCAGGTCATGATCCCGGGTCCTGGGATTGAGTCCCAAGTTGGGCTCACTACTCCCTGGGGAACCTGCTTCTCCCTCTCCCTCTGCCAGCCACTCACCCTGCTTGTGCGCCGGCATGCATGCTCTCTCATCAAATAAATAAAATCTAAAAAAATAAATAAAATAAAATTGTACTAAGATAATGTCATAGCAAAGGTTATAAAATGCAAAACACTGAAACTGCTGAGCCACCCAGAGGTCCCCGTATCATATATTTGAAAGTTGCCAAGAGAATAGGTCTTAAAAGTTCTCATTACAAGAAAAAAGCAATTTTAATTTTGTGTGTGATGAATGTTAACTAGCCTTAGTGTGGTGATCATTTTGCAACATATACAAATACTAAATAATTGTTATACACTTAAAACTAGAATAGTGTTATATGTTAATTACATGATCTCACAGAGTTTCTCCAGCTCAGAGCCCCTCTGAGTCTGTTTTAAAATTGAAGCAGTAAGAAACCAAGAGGCATGTTCCAGGACAGGGGGCTGCTGTCCTTCCCCGCTGGCCTCCGCCTTATCTACACTGAATTAAATGGAACACTGTTCTTTAGACAGCAACTTGAGGTCCACTGCATTTCCTCCTTACATCTATTTGAAATGCTAAATGACTATTGAGGCTTTTTTTTTTCTTTCCACAAATATTTACCAAGGGACCATAGTACTCCAGGTACCATGCAGGATCCGTATAAGAAAGTAGCATAACAGAATCAGACGCAGACCTCAGACTGAGGCGGCTCCTGGTCCAGTGGGAAAACAGTGTTTTAAGAACTATGATTCAGGGATGTGTGGGTGGCTCAGCAGTTGAGCGCCTGCCTTCAGCCCAGGGCATGGTCCTGGAGTGCCAGGATTGAGTCCCTGCACTGGGCTCCCTACAGGGAGCCTGCTTCTTCCTCTGCCTATGTCTCTGCCTCTCTGTGTCTCTCATGAATAAATAAATAAAATCTTTAAAAAAAAAAAAAAGTACTATGATTCAGTTTTTTTTTTAAAATAAATTAATTTTTATTGGTGTTCAATTTACCAACATACAGAATAACACCCAGTGCTCATCCCATCAAGTGTCCCCCTCAGTGCCCGTCACCCATTCACCCCCACCCCCCGCCCTCTTCCCCTTCCACCACCCCTAGTTTGTTTCCCAGAGTTAGAAGTCTTTATGTTCTGTGTCCCTTTCTGATATTTCCCACACATTTCTTCTCCCTTCCCTTATATTCCCTTTCACTATTATTCATATTCCCCAAATGAATGAGAACATACACTGTTTGTCCTTCTCCGAATGACTTACTTCACTCAGCATAATACCCTCCAGTTCCATCCACGTTGAAGCAAATGGTGGGTATTTGTCGTTTCTAATGGCTGAGGAATATTCCATTGTATACATAAACCACATCTTCTTTATCCATTCATCTTTCGATGGACACCGAGGCTCCTTCCACAGTTTGGCTATTGTGGACATGGCTGCTAGAAACATCGGGGTGCAGGTGTCCCGGCGTTTCATTGCATCTGAATCTTTGGGGTAAATCCCTAACAGTGCAATTGCTGGGTCATAGGGCAGTTCTATTTTTAACTCTTTGAGGAACCTCCACACAGTTTTCCAGAGTGGCTGCACCAGTTCACATTCCCACCAACAGTGTAAGAGGGTTCCCTTTTCTCTGCATCCTCTCCAACATTTGTGGTTTCCTGCCTTGTTAATTTTCCCCATTCTCACTGGTGTGAGGTGGTATCTCATTGTGGTTTTGATTTGTATTTCCCTGATGGCAAGTGATGCAGAGCATTTTCTCATGTGCATGTTGGCTATGTCTATGTCTTCCTCTATGAGATTTCTCTTCATGTCCTTTGCCCATTTCATGATTGGATTGTTTGTTTCTTTGGTGTTGAGTTTAATAAGTTCTTTAATGATTTTGGAAACTAGCCCTTTATCTGATACGTCATTTGCAAATATCTTCTCCCATTCTGTAGGTTGTCTTTGAGTTTTGTTGACTGTATCCTTTGCTGTGCAAAAGCTTCTTATCTTGATGAAGTCCCAATAGTTCATTTTTGTTTTTGTTTCTTTTGCTTTCGTGGATGTATCTTGCAAGAAGTTACTGTGGCCAAGTTCAAAAAGGGTGTTTGTTGCCTGTGTTCTCCTCTAGGATTTTGATGGAATCTTGTCTCACATTTAGATCTTTCATCCATTTTGAGTTTATCTTTGTGTATGGTGCAAGAGAGTGGTCTAGTTTCATTCTTCTGCATGTGGATGTCCAATTTTCCCAGCACCATTTACTGAAGAGACTGTCTTTCTTCCAGTGGATAGTCTTTCCTCCTTTATCGAATATTAGTTGACCATAAAGTTCAGGGTCCACTTCTGGGTTCTCTATTCTGTTCCATTGATCTATGTGTCTGTTTTTGTGCCAGTACCACACTGTCTTGATAACCACAGCTTTGTAGTACAACCTGAAATCTGGCATTGTGATGCCCCCAGATATGGTTTTCTTTTTTAAAATTCCCCTGGCTATTCGGGGTCTTTTCTGATTCCACACAAATCTTAAAATAATTTGTTCTAACTCTCTGAAGAAAGTCCATGGTATTTTGATAGGGATTGCATTAAACATGTAAATTGCCCTGGGTAACATTGACATTTTCACAATATTAATTCTGCCAATCCATGAGCATGGAATATTTTTCCATGTCTTTGTGTCTTCCTCAATTTCTTTCAGAAGTGTTCTATAGTTTTTAGGGTATAGATCCTTTACCTCTTTGGTTAGGTTTATTCCTAGGTATCTTATGCTTTTTGGGTGCAATTGTAAATGGGATTGACTCCTTAATTTCTCTTTCTTCAGTCTCATTGTTAGTGTATAGAAATGCCATTGATTTCTGGGCATTGATTTTGTATCCTGCCACGCTACCAAATTGCTGTATGAGTTCTAGCAATCTTGGGGTGGAGGCTTTTGGGTTTTCTAGGTAGAGTATCATGTCTTCGGCGAAGAGGGAGAGTTTGACTTCTTTGCCAATTCGAATGCCTTTAATGTCTTTTTGTTGTCTGATTGCTGAGGCTAGGACTTCCAATACTATGTTGAATAGCAGTGGTGAGAGTGGACATCCCTGTCTTGTTCCTGATCTTAGGGGAAAGGCTCCCAGTGCTTCCCCATTGAGAATGATATTTGCTGTGGGCTTTTCGTAGATGGCTTTTAAGATGTCGAGGAAAGTTCCCTCTATCCCTACACTCTGAAGAGTTTTGATATGATTCAGTTCTGTATCATTTGTGTGAGAAGAGTACTTACTGCAGGCCAAGCTTCTGATAGGATGTCATATCTAATTTGAGTCTGAAGACTAATCACCAGGACCAACAGATAGAAAGAGAGAGAGAGAATGGGTACAGGAACAATAAGTCCCTGAGGCAAGCAGCAGCAAGGAATGCCTTACAGTCGAACATAGAATGCTAGAGGGGAAAGAGGGAGGCAAAAGATGAGCCCTGGAGCCCAGCAGGGCCCACATCATGGGAAGTTCAGAAAACCATAGGAAGGAATTAGCCTATAGGCTGTGGGCAATGAGGAGGTTTACGTGTTAGGAAAGTGACTATTATGGTTGAATTTTGTCCCTCAAAAAGACATACTGGAGCCCTAAGCCCCAGCACCTCAGAATGTGACCTTATTTGGAGATATAGTCTTTACAGAGATAATCAAGTTAAAATTAGGTCATTAAGGTGAATCCTAATCCTGTATGAGTGGCCCTCATAAAAAGAGGAAATTTGGGCACAGAAGCACACATATATAATGGAAGATGATGTAAGGAGACATAGGGAAAAAGACCACCAACTACAAATTAAGTCAAGAAGAGAGGAATGGGGGATCCCTGAGTGGCGCAGCGGTTTGGCGCCTGCCTTTGGCCCAGGGTGCGATTCTGGAGACCCGGGATCGAATCCCATATCGGGCTCCTGGTGCATGGAGCCTGCTTCTCCCTCTGCCTGTGTCTCTGCCTCTCTCTCTCTCTCTCTCTCTGTGACTATCATAAATAAATAAATTGAAAAAAAAATTAAAAAAAAAAAAAAAGAAGAGAGGAATGGTGGAACAGACTCTCTCCCTCAGAGCCCTCAGAAGGAACCAACCCTGCTGACACCTTGATTTTGTGGACTTGTAACCTCCAGAACCCTGAGACAATAGATTTCCGTCATTTTTAAGCCCAATTAATCAGTATTAAAAGGCATCTGTAAAACCAGTGATAAGAAAAATAGTAAACGTTGAGTGTTACTTTCATAAAACATTACTGCAAAGCCACTGCGTTATTTGCTTTACACTAAGAGAATTATAAATATATCTATGTACTTTAATGACAAATCCTACAAAATTATTTACCAAAATCTCCTCCCAGAACCTGCCACGGGCATCAACTTATAGAGCTTACAAAAATGCAGCTTTTTGTGCTTAGCCTCAAACCAATGGTATCAATCTAGAACTGTTCTAGATTTTCTAGGATAGTCCAATATTAAACTACTGAAGTGGGCAGCCTGGGTTGTGCAGCGGTTTGGCACCGCCTGCAGCCTGGGGTGTGATCCTGGAGACCTGGGATCAAGTCCCACATCGGGCTCCCTGCATGGAACCTGTTTCTCCCTCTCCCTCTGCCTGTGTCTCTGCCTCTCTCTCTGTGTCAATAAATAAATAAAATCTTTAAAACTACTAAAGTGTTTTAGAAATCCCCAAACTACTAAAGTATATTAGAATCCAGATTTTTTTTTTAATCGCCCAGTGTCTCTGCCATCTGGAGGATGCAAAAAAGTTGTCAAAGTATTTGCCTTCATGTTGTTGGTGAAAATATTGCTGCTGTGATAATATGCAAGTACCACCTAAAAGTTTCTAAAAAGAGAAAATGGACTAATAAGAGTTTGAGTATGAATAGCCTTAACACATAAAATGCAATAAAATAATAAAATACTAATTTTCTTTAACATCTAAAAAGTAATTCACTTACGTCCTGAGGATGGAAGAATGAGGCAGCTTGAGAATCTTTCTTACATAATCATAGACTTTGCTACTGCACAAGTAGAGTGTACATGCAAATTGTTTCATTTCTGTAGAGTACTCAGCTGTTTCTCTCCAGTTATACAACTCCCACTTAAAATCTGTTAAAATAAATTTATTTATTCTTTGTGATGAAGAGTGTGTACAGTAACATTTTCAGATATAGATCACAGCATTTGGATATAAATGCAATGGGCATCCAAATCCAAATCCAATCACAGTTTAACTAAGTTTGTTCAATGGTTAATATCCAATCATAGAGCCTCCTGACTAGTTCATCCTGTTCATCTTGAATCATTTCACTCAAAAGAGGGAAGAAAAAAGTTTCAACCTGAATCACTGTGTTTTACTATTCACTGGCAGCCTAAGTGGAGAATTTTAGAGGAAGAGGGAAGAAAATGAAGTAAGTGGATAAAATTAAAGTCTCTGGATTATGAGCACATTTATTTGTTTTATTTTGTTCCCTGGTTACCATTTATTTGAGGGGTGAAAATGAGACACAAGAAACATTTCTGAGGATGGGATGTTATTCAGATTGAATAGACAATCTTCCCTACTTTGAAGGAAAAAAAAAAAATCCTCTTTCCTGTTGGGGATTCCTGTTTATTATGTGTGTTTTCCCCTACTGGAAAAACACAAAATATTCTCCTCCTTTGGAAATACCTATTCTTTTCTAGAAATAAGACATACTTTTTTTTTTTTAAACCAGAACGTAAATCCAAAATCTCTACTGCTTTCATCAAAGAGTAAGTTGGAAATATTTATTTTGTCCCTCTTCTTTGTTCACAAAGAAGAGTAGGTAGTTTTCCAATGGACATATCTGTCTTCTATAGAACATTTTAGAAAATAATATGGAGATTCATAGAATTTTCAAGCTCAAGGAGAACTGGCGAAATTATCTGGTTCAACTCTGCTGCAAAAACACTTTAGTGATAAATTACATAGCAGTTAAAACTGCTTATAAAGAATTTGCAGTAAAATGAATAAGTGCTTTATAAAAACTGCAAAGTATAGTATATGGTATCAACCATATTATCTCATCTCTGGGTAGCAGGATTATGCTTAACTTTTATCATTTGTATATTTCTTCGTTTTTCCTATAATAAACCACATTACTTTTAAAGCTGGAAATACAAAAAATAAATAAATAAATAAATAAATAAATAAATAAATAAATAAATAAATAAATAAATAAGCTGGAAATACATAAAAGGATTTTGGCAATTCCTTTCTTTTTTGCTTACCCTGAGACTTCATGTTTCAGTGAAGAGCACGTTTTCATAAGCAGTAGCAGAGTAAATACTTTATGATATTTTGGAAAAGGGGAACATACCTGAAAACTGTGCTCGTAGCAGACACTCTGTTTCTTCAGAAAGTAGTTTCTCTTCTACAAGTGCGTCAATTAATCGTAAGCCCTTTCTCTTCTTGATCATCCTATAGTTTTTTACAGAGACCAGTCTTTTTTTGGATACCTGGAGCATCTGTTGCACCTCGGCCAGTTTCTCTGCACCTATTGTCAGAGGTCTCTTTAAACTGTAGTTATGGTCCTCAGTAGCAATCTCTTGTGAATTATCAGGAAGTGGCTGTTTTAGGATTTTCTGTCTTGCTTTACCTTTAAGGTGTACACCCTGAAGAACCTGCAATAGAAACATCAAATTCAGGTTATTTTTGAAATTATCACACAGAAAACTGTCTATAAAAATACCACTAAATGCAAAACACTCACCTGGTTGCTTGGGAGAGTTAATTATGAAAGAAAAAAGTCATAATCTCTGGTTTTTGCCAATGTATTTAAAGGAAAATGTGAAAGAAGTTTTTTTTTTTTTTCATCTCTACAGAAATAGTAACCTGATGCTGAAAGTTAACACGATGCTGAAAGTGTCTGAAATGGTAATGGTAACAACAGAAAGGTGGCAATTTGGGAAGGCTTCGTGGAAATGAGTTTTGAATAGTTTTTTAAAGGAGCAATCACATGACTTATTTTTGCAAAAAGGCAGGCATAGTAGACAGAGCACGGGCTTTGGAATTAAGACTGAACTGGGTTTGAATCCTGACTTCCTCATTTAGTAGCTGTCACTAAATCCATCAGCTCCTCATTTGTAAAATGTGGATAATAATACAGAGTTGTTTTAAGGATAAAATAAGAATACTTATGTAAATCTCCTGGCACAATGGCCTGGACCACTGTAGGTCTCAATAAATAATGACTATTATTGATTTTACACAAAAGCATGAAAGCAAGTCAATTTATCAGATATACAGTAGTTTGAAAGAATTTGAGAAAAGAATACAGTAGTTTGAAAAGAGAATTCAGAGCAGTTAGAAATGCACGCATCAGGATGGAAGAGGTAGATGACCACAGCCTGTGCAGACGTGATGAGCCATGTACAAGAAGGTGGCCAAGAGATAAAAGGAGAACACGGAAACAGAAGAAATCTCAGAATGTAACACCAATACTGGTGACTGACTCACAGAAAGCCCTCTATTTTCCATATATACCTCTCTATATGGATGCTAATAATTAGGTATATTTTTGGTCAAGGTCAGTAACATCACTGGGAGGAACCCCCAAAAAGGTGTAATTTCTAGGTATTCTGGAAACTGTCTTACACAGCCTGAATTCTAAGGTATCTACTAGTTGATTCTTGCAATCAGTTTAGTAATCTTTATGTGTGTCTTGACAATGATTTGCATTTTATATACCTAATTTTTTTACGAAATTCCAATATTCCATGTAGATTTAAAAAAAAAAAACGAAAAATGAGTTTTCTAAGCATTTAAAATCTATTGTTGGATTTATTTTAAGAATTTTAAGACTTAGGATTTCTTCTTAAATCTCTGTAAATTCTAGCTATAATGTGAGGTATCTTGGTTTTTAAAGGCTCTGTAGAATTTAATTTTGTATGTACCTAGAGTTAAGTACCTTGTATAGAGAAACAGAAGGCACAGCTCCTTTTTTCAGCTTTCTTCTTATGCCATATGACTCAAAGTCACTTTCTTGAAAATGTTTGGAACATAGTATAGCACCTGGTCCTGGGATCCAAATCTTTTTGCTTCTGGGGTCCACACGATTAACAGCCCTGATCCATTTTGAGCGCTGTATGGTATCAGTTGGAAATCTACAGCAATCATATTAAAGTTCCATTAACATGAAATTATAGTAATACTACAGTATTTGTTACATAAATCCATTTATTTAACTACTTTATATAAACATCAAGTCTAGTTAAACTTACTTAATTTGATTTCATTTTTTTCAAAGTTCTTTGATTTTTTTTAATCCAAGAGTTCTGATTTCATTTGCTTCAATTTGTACAAGGGCAATTCTCATATTAAGTATCCTACCACATTTTGTCTTCACTGCCTACACTCAACAGAATCTAAAGCAGATTCTGACACAGTCTTTAAACTATGTCCCTGGATTCTTTGCTCCTCCTCCTCTTAAAAGATGGAGCTGACTCTCCCCTTGAGTGTGGGCTAGAGATAGTGATTTGCTTCTAAGAAATAAAAAAAGCAGGAGTGGCAATGGGCAATAAGACTAGATAATAAAAGCACTTGCTCCCTCTATCGAATTTTTTTTCTCTGAGCAGAGCTTCTCTGCCATGTCATAAGCAGTCCTATAGAGATATCGGTCTACTTGGCAAGAGACAGGCTTCCAGTCAAAGGCTATGTTGGGTGAGCTTTCTGAAAGCACACCCTTCAGTCTCATCAAATGTTCAGAAGATTCTAATATCGGCTAACATTTTACTGCAATCTTATGAGACACTCTTTAACACCCAGTTAATCCACTCCTGAATTCCTACCCTCAGAATTTGTGAGATAACATTTCCACTGCATTTTTTAAAAAATTTGTCACTAAGCAGTAGAAAAACAAGTACATTTCCCATACTTGATTTTCCTCTCTTGTTTTGAAAGGCACCACTTTTTCCTAGCCTTGAATATAAAAATTACCTTGTATTTCTCTATTTTTAAGCCCATACTACTATGTTTAGAAATTGGTGAGAAAAAAAACTTACAAAATTAATATAATGAAAAATCACAAAACTACTCTTTCTGCGCCCTCCTTCCTTGATTTATCTCGGGGACAGACCTAGGTAGCTGTGTGATTTTATATATATATATATTTTTTTTTTTTTAACTTAGGTTTTAAGGTATATAATTGTTAGGAACTGAAACTAGTGAAAATTTTAAATTTCTCAACTCATTGTTAGGGAAATAATGTAGCAGTAAGGTAAAACACAATTTTGAGATGTTCTCTCAATCACCTTGAGAAAAAAAACACTGAATTGGAAAACCTGTATTTAAGCTTCAATTACCTTTTATCAGCCACATGGTATTAGATACATTTCTCAATCTTTGAGCCCCCTCACAGGGTTGTTAAGAGTGTACAAGGCAGCAAATCCATTCAAAACCTTTTGTAAACGGTAAAGTACTACCTGGAATTTGTGCTTTCCTAGGAAACAACACTTCCACTTTCAGGACTTTCATTTTATTGTTCCAGAAAGATGATGCTACTTGATCAAGAGGAAATTATTTTTCTCATAAGGGTGAGGCAAATCCATCTCTTTTCACGGAGTTCTTTTCTTAACTAATGGCACATGTTAATGAGGCATCTTTTCCAGAGTTGGGGTGTAGTCTCTAACTATGGTAAAGGACAGTAAAAAGGTGGCTAGTCCACCAAGTTATATCATATAGCCTGATCCTCAGATGCAGTTTCCCACTTGGCATGCCTGCTGACCACAGCCATCAATCCCCTCAGTCCATGGAATGGCCTGGGCCACCTGGAGCCCTTGAAGTACAGTCCCAAATAGCTTTGTTAGTTTGCCCCAAAGTATTAAATATTTCCTATGTGTAAAACATTAAAGGGTTGGGATAATAGTGTAGTCTAACCATCATGACTAATTTGAATTCTGAACAAAATTATATTGGTAATAAGAATTGATACTACTTTTAAAGCATTCACCTTGAGCCATATACATATGTTTAAAGTTTATTTAAGTAATTTCGACACCCAACGTAGGTGGGTGGCTCAAATTCACAACCCGAAATCAAGAGCTGCCCACTCTTCCAACTGAGCTAGCCAGGCACTCAGGTGTATGTTTTGAAAACTTAGTTTTCGTCTTACAAAAGTTCTGCACAAAAGGTTTTTATCCTTTCAAGAAGATGAAACCAAGACCAGAGCTAAGCATACCTACCAGTAAATAGTACTTGAAATTGGAATTCATGTCTCCCTATTCTAAAGCCACCTCTGGCAAAAGAAAAGTCCCAAACCAATCATCATCTCATGTATACAATAATGAATTGGGTAAATCAATACAGAATCCATTTTCTCTCTCCCATTGACTATGCCTTTTTTACACTGCTGGCAGAAATGTATCTTTGGCTCCCTGCATATATTTTCCAGAAAACTGGCTAACAAAATCCTTTCTACAGTGGTAATCTCTGAGGAGAGAGAGAGAAAGAATTGAGGGGGTAAAACTTGAACTATATCTGTAACTTAATTCTCTTTTAAGGGGAAAAAGAAAAAAACTGAAACAACGCAAAATGTTAGCATCTGCTTAATTCTTCTGATGGGTACATAGGTGTTTGTTATGTACTATTTTTTGCCTGCTAGTATGCTTGATATGTTTCATAATTAAAAGTTTAAAAATAGAATCCATTACAATTCAGGTAAAAACGCTTCCAAATTATCATACATATAGTTCTTTGGTTATGAAATAAATTGTTCAATTTCTTTACACCAACAAAAAGAGAATGACTCAAAGTGCCACTTTACTTGCCAGTCCCACTTAATATTCAACCATTTATGTGTTTCACAAAGTACCAGTATTCTCATAACAACAGTTTCCACACCTTTAGTCATTTCGACTCATGCTTTTCAGCCACAGCCCCTTGCCTGTGTCCTTGCAATGTCTTTGATAACTCTGGTAATCGGACTTGGAATGCTGGGGGAGGCTTCTGAAGAGATAATACTGGAACAAGAACTGAACAGGAATTTGCCATGCAGAGAGTGGCCACTCCAAGCAGATACAGTAACACAAAGATATAAAATAACTACTTGGATCTTACTGGTTCATAAAGCATTAAAAAATAAGTTAATTTGGAGGCTGGAGAGGGTTAAAGGAGAGCGTAGAGGTAGCTGGTACTTGGTACAGATGGGCTGGAGAGATAGCTAGAGGCCAGATGATAATAGATCTTGTATGCTGTAGTATGTTTAGGATCCATCCCTCCGGTCAGTGGCCTCCAGAGGAATATGCACTCATCTACTGAGATTTGAAGAAATTAGATTTTTATAATTTTTTTTGCCATCCTTTAATTTTTGTGTTCCATAGTATGTATTAGTACATCGCTTCATGTATGTAACTTATAAATCGCCGTGCATATATCAGGAACATGTACTCAAATTTCTTTATGGAGAGGGCTCTGTCATCAGTAAGTTTGAAGATGATGCCTTTGGGCAATGTTAAGTTGACAAATGTTAAGTTGACAAATACTACCTTGTGCTAGGACTAACACCATAGTATTCTAACTCGTCTTCCTGTCTCTCATTTGTCCTACCCTCTTTACAACCTCCTAGGTATAGGAAGACAAAGATGATTCCCTCCCATTCATACATAAGGACATGTGTTTCATTCAGCACAGATATATAATAACAGAAATATAGAGGGAATGTAATTCCAGTTTTGGAAGAGAGGGATAGGAGGAAAGGCTTTGCAGAGGAGCTTGGACTGCATTTTATGCATTGAAAAGCCCGGATTAAAATCCTTCCTTTAGGGATCCCTGGGTGGCTCAGCGGTTGAGCGCCTCCCTTCCGCTCAGGGTGTGATCCTGGGTTCGGGATCGAGTCCCACACGGGGCTCCCTGTGAGGAGCCTGCTTCTCCCTCTATGTCTCTGCCTCTCTGTGTATCTTACGAATAAATAAATAAATCTTAAAAAAAAAAAAAAACAAATCCTTCCTTCAGGGAACTAGCATAAAATTCGCATTTTTAGAAAAATCATTTCCAGGAATCAGGGCAATGGAATGAATGGGGAATCAATCAGACTGAAAGACTCACAGCAGACTCTTGTAATAATTGCATCACCTTCCTTTCTTAAAATTAAGCAGGTCTTATTTTGGTCCTCAATAAGTAAAATAAATAAAAGCAGTATAAGAACTCCTCCTCATTTAAGAATCTAAGAAGGCACAGGAAAAGGAAAAGCAGGGTAGCAAAAAAATTGAAAAAAAAAATTAGAGAAAAAGGAGATAAGTTGGGACAGAGTGTCAATAAAGCCAATGGAGGTGAAAGTTTCATGGGGTAGTCGATACCACTAAAAGTTAAAGACGTCAAGAGAAGGGTTTAGAAGTGCTCGCTTAGATTTGGCAGGATTACCGGTGACCCTTTGTCAGTGCATTAGAGCAGTAGTGACAGATATCTGGCAACAAGAAGTTGAAAAGTCAATAGGACTTAGGTAAATAGGTTATGTTCCTGTTTTGAGGAGCCTGGCTACAGAGGGAAGGAGTCGTAGGCTAGCGCAGAGGAGTACAGAAGCTCGAGTTTGTGTGTCTGTTTAGAAATGAAAGTAATGTGAGCATGCTCACTGTCTTAGGCAAGTAATCAGTAGCTGGAGCAGTTTATTAAAATAAAGAGAAGAGGAACAGGGATGCCTGGGTGGCTCAGAGGTTGAGCGTCTGCCTTGGGCTGAGGGTGAGATCCCGGGGTCTGGGGATTGAGTCCCACCCACCTCGGGCTCCCTGCGATGAATCTGCCTTCTCCCTCTGCCTGTGTCTCTGCCTCTGTGGGGGTGTGTGTGTGTCTCTCATGAACAAGTAAGTTATTTTTTTAAAAAAAGAGAGAGAACAGGAACATATTAGTTGGGGGAGGGAATCCCAAAGGAGAAAAAAAGATACAATTACAACAGCTTAAGTGGAGGAGGAATCAACTCTATTTAAAAAACAAAACAATGACTACAAAAGGCCTACCACACCTAGTAGAAGCTCCTTAACCTTTTCTTTGTAAATGTCTTTATTTTCCACTCCTCTATCAGGTATTACGTTTTCCCATGCTGTTCCTATCGAGTGCTATCTTCCTCCTGCTCCCGAAAAAGCTCAAGGTCCACTTCAAATACCACCTGTCCCATAAAACTCTTTTTGATTTTCCCATAAAAGTCCCTTGGCAATGGTTTACCTCTCTACATCTCCTATCACTTTAGTGGACTACCTTTTTCAAGTACATTTTTGTGAGAACGTCTTACCCGCTTTCTTACTTCCCACTGTGCCTTGGACTTTGATTCGCATGACACATATATACGTATTACAAACACACACGAACACCACAGAAGTACTACACAGACGTGGGTTCAAATTAGACTGGTCTGAAAATCGGTCCCACACTTAAGCCAAATGAGAACTTCCCTGCCATGACGAGATCCAGCCAGAACGGGACCCGCCTCCTCGAGCTCAGCCACTACTACTGAATAACCTGCAACGACAGGCGTTCTGGTGAAAACTCATCCACGCTCACGCTCACGCTCACGCTCACGAGCAAGCCGCACAGTCTAATGGAACCGAACACCTTCCGCAGCTCTCCCCAAATGCCCTCCCTTCCCGTCTCCTCACGTTAAATAATAAAAGACGACCGAAAGGAAGGAAGCGCGACTCCTTTCGAATAACCCTCGCTAAGAGCCACTAGGCAACCGGCAGGCAACGCGAAACAATCAGCAACTTAGACGCAAACCCTATGCGGGAAGAGCAAGAATAACCCGAACTCTCCAACTTCCCACGTTCCTTTCCCCCCCACGCTACGCACGCACGTCACGTCACGTCAACGGCGCGACGCGCGCCCGGCCCCGCCCCACCCCGGCCTACTGCCCGCCTGGCTGCGCCGGGAGTTAGCCGGGGGCTGCTCTCACGCACTGGTGAAAGGAGAGGCCGCGCTCCCGGCTCAGCACGGTGTCCCGGGTGCTGCAGCCCACTGCCGAGCAACTTCGGGTCATCTTCTTGCTACGTGGGGCTCCACTTTGGGTGTGCCTGCGACAGCATTAATCGCGATAAGTTTAGCTCCGCCCGTGGACTCGGCGGCTACGACCTTTATTTGTCGGAAAAGGCGGGTTCTTAAGGCGCAAGACTCCTGCGCTTCCTCTTCGTGGGCGCGGCGCTTCACGCCGTGGCCAATCACGGGCCACGTCGCGTCGCCGCAGCCAATCGGAAAAGCGCGGGGCTCGAAGACGAGCACTTGACGGCTCCTCCCTCTGTGTTCGAGGGTGGTTAGTGGGGTTTAGTCGTTGATGGGCTCGTTTTCCTCCTGTTTCAACCCCGTCTGGTTGCATCCGATGCCATCGGGATTCTCGTGAGGCCGAACTTGAGAATGCAAAGCGAAGAGGCAGCAGCGAAGTTGAGGCGGATCCAGGGGCACGCGCTTAGGTCTCCGGTGCGAATTCTGAAAGTGACGAAGATATGGCTGGAGGAAGAGTTGGGACCGAGAGGGATAATAGACGCGGTGCCGTAGGAATATTGAAGACAAAATTGGGCCTCAAAACAAATTATCTTCTGAGAGGCCTATCAACTCCTTGCATTTTATTTGGTAGTTCCCCGATGTGGGGAGATAACAGAGGAGCTGTTGGTATCGTTGGCCTGAGATAAGTCACCCCGGAGGAGCTTGAATGAGAGAATAGGCTACGTCGACGTTTAGTTCAACGAACCCTCTTCTACAAGGGCGGGAATTTGTCACCATGCGGGGGAATTAAGAAGGAAGTAAGGTAAGGTCCTTGGGGCTGTTGGCGGCAGCACTGGGGGGAGCAGGAGGGGAGAGACCATGAATGATTTTGGTTGGGGTGTGGGGCATCACGGATAACTTCAAGGAGTGACAGGGCCATAGAACGATGTCTTGTGTGTATTTACGGCATGAGATACCGATTTTCGTGGAAGAGACAAATTGGGGCCAACGTAGGGCGTAGTTTCTATTTCGTGTCTTTCAAGAGATGCTTAACTTATGAAGTGGCTGCTTTCTCTTCCACTTTGTCGGAGTCCTGTACTTTTCGTTCAACTTTTTCATTTCCTTCTCCCAACAGGCAAGAACGATTGCAACATTTCCAAGACATTGCTTCTTTTTTTTCCCTTTTTGTTCCTTTATCCAAATTCCAGCCAAAGGTATTACTTATTCACATCTACTTTTCCATTATAATATGCTCCTATCTTGTTTGAACGAAATTAACAGCTTTTGTGTATGTAGTTTTCTGGAAGTCACATGGCCTAAGGATAGTACTGAATTTGACGGAAAATTGATCCGTACTTCATTTTTTTCTTCGCACTTCATTTTTTAATTGCGAAAAGATGTTCCACTGTATGGATATACTGCCAAGATTTTATTTATCCATTCATCAATGGAACATTTGGGTTGTTTCCATTCTGGGGGAATGTTTATGCCATGAACATTAATGCACAAGTTTGTGTGCGGACATATGTTTTCATTTCTTTTGAGTATATACCTCAGGGTAGATTGCTGGATCATATACTTAATTATGTTTAAACTCTTGAGGAAATGACATACTTTTTCCAAAGTGGCTGGACCATTTTACATTCTCACTAGCAGTGGATGAGGGTTCCCTTTTCTTCATGTTCCTGAGAGTGTGAGGTGGTACTTCATTGTGGTGTTGCCTGATTTTTAAGGACTTAGGGTTTGTAAGGAACCTGCTAGAGGATGTAGACAGTGTAGAGTGTAGAGACAGTGTTTAAGGTGAATTTGTCTTTTCAGTCTGTGGCACACCAATAGATAACATGTTTCTACTCTAATGTCATATGTGTTCCTGAAAGATAATTTATATTTAGAAAAATTGTGCATCTGAAAAAAGCAGTGCTTGTAGGAAGAAAAAAGTTAGCATTGACTATTCAAAATCTATGCAGTTTGATAATCTCTAAAATAGTGACAAGTACCTGGGGAAGAACTCCTACGCCTTCCTCCGACCCCTTTAAATGTTAACTTCAGTGGAGACTGCTGTAAGGTGTATTACATTAGAACAGGGTTGGTGGATGCTAGACGTTATAGATAACGAAGTGGAGCTCTGAGCTAATGAGCTGCTAAATGGTATAACCTGTTGAGGGTGGGTGGGTGCAGCTAGGGAGGGAGTCCCAGGTGCAGGCTCTCATTTTTCTTTGTCTTTTTTTAGATTTTTTTTTTTTTTTTTATTCATTCATGAGAGACACACAGAGAGAGAGGCAGAGACACAGGCAGAGAGAGAAGCAGGCTCCATTCAGGGAGCCCGATGTGGGACTTGATCCCAGGACTCCAGGATCACGCCCTGGGCCAAAGGCAGGCACCCAACCACTGAGCCACCCAGGCATCCCATCATTTTTCATTTTCTTATGTTAGAGTTGAAAGTACCCCTGTTGCTAATTCGGTATCACTGTTAGGAGGAATAGAGGTCTTTTCTGCTTAATTGGATTCCAGATACTGTGGCTATCTAGGAAAGATGAAACTGTGGCTCTCACATTATTCTGAAGGCATTCTTGTAATTATTAATTACAAGCAAGTTACTGAAAATTGCTCTGCTGCAAAACAGATTTACTTTAATGGTGTAGACTGATTAAATGAAAAACTTTATGGGAGCCACAAGGGGTCACCGCCCTAGGTATTCTTAGTATACTTCTGGATAAGGAAACATGCAATCCTTCATAAGTGCATTTTTTTTTAGTTGTATTTATGTATCTTTATATTTGTTTATAACTTTTACATTTTTGTTGCTCATTTTTACTGTTTTACTGGGTGACTTTGAGGTTCTCAATTTGATCATTTGATTATCTTTGCTTCCTCCAATAACTTCATATCCAGTGATTAAACCTTTTCACTGCTGTTCACATAATGAACCGTTGTGATTATTGAATATATAAATGAGGATATGTAAGCTGTGTTAAAGAAGGCATTGGCAATTGTGCAACCTAATTTAAAAGAAAATATCTCTTTTCAGGAATTACATTCTTGGAGATGTTGGGAAAAGATTCCTCAGCCTTGGAAGATAATTACTCCAAATATACAGGGGAGGTAGTATATCTTTCTATTTTAAATGTATTAAGAATCTTGGAACAATAGTAGTGACTTAGAAATGGAGTATTGTCCAGCTAAAGATTTATGAAGGCTTTGGTGAAATCTACTTCCTGTTAGGGAATCTCATTAATTCAGTAGCTTGGGAGGAAAAGTAACAGCTAATGGTTATTAAACCATTACGGATCAAGCATTGTATTAAGCATTTTATATACAGTATAGTTTTTATAAACAATGTTTACTTCTCAAAACAACCCTATGAAAGTAAGTAAACTTTTTTTTTTTTTTTAATTTGAGAAAGAGCATGGTGGGGGACACTGAGGGAGAAGCAAACTCCCTGCTGAGCAGGGAGCCTGACTCATGGCTCCATCTCAGGACCCTGAGATCATGACCTGAGCTGACGGCAGACACTTAAGCAACTGAGCTACCCAGGCACCTCAAAAGCAAATAGACTTTTTGCTTTCTAGGACTGGTGAACACTTACCCTTCTGTCAGATTCTTAGCTAGTTCTACTGGAACCCTTGTTGCCGTCACATGTTAAGATGTATTTCTAGTAATTGACTTACATTCTTACTTTTTCATCCTTTTTCAGTTCAGAAAGCCATGTGGTTTTGAAATTATTGGTGACCAGCTGTAAAAAAACTGTTCTGAATCTAATCCTTTCCTCAAAATTAAAGATCTTGGGCAGCCCTAGTGGTGCAGCGGTTTAGCGCCGCCTGCAGCCCAGGGCGTGATCCTGGAGACCCGGGATCGAGTCCCACATTGGGTTCCCTGCATGGAGCCTGCTTCACCTCTGCCTGTGTCTCTGCCTTTCGCTCTCGCTCTATGTCTCTCATGAATAAATAAAATAAAATCTTTAAAAAATAAAAAAAAATTTAAAAAGTTAAAGATCTTTTTAGCTAATTCGTAAGTTGTACATTTTACTTTATTTTTTAAGATTTATTTTTTATTTATTTTATTTTTTAAAAGATTTTATTTATTTATTTATTCATGACAGAGAGAGAGAGAGAGAGAGAGAGAGAGAGCCAGAGACACACAGGCAGAGGAAGAAGCAGGCTCCATGCAGGGATCCCGACACGGGACTCAATCCCAGATCTCCAGAATCACACCCCAGACTGAAGGCGGCGCTAAACCGCTGGGCCACCGGGGCTGCCCAAGATTTATTATTTATTTTGCAAGAGCAAAGCAGGGGCAGACTCTGCACTGAGCAGGGAGCCCAACTCAGAGCTCATTCAGTCCCAGGTTTCTGAGATTATGATCCGAGTGAAAATGAAGAGTCAGCCAGGCATCCTTGCATTTTACTTTTTGATTGTGGATTGACTACTACACTTTTTTTTTAACCACTTCAATTTATTGAATCAAGAGTTTAATATTTGACCCTCTGGTCAGATAATTAGGAGTGTATGTATCCAAGTAAATGCTCTTTTTTCTAAGGTGTATATTTGCGTGCCTGTGCATATATAGATTCCATAAGTGATGCTACATTCCTTTGGAAATTTTCTAGGGAGTATGTAAGAAAGCTCATTTTATAGCTAGAGAATACTCTACCTTGATTATATATATTTTTTCTTGTACCCATTTCCTCTCTCCCAATTACTCCTAGGTGGAAGTGGTTAGAGAAGCTGGAAGCAGATTATAGATAAAAATTGAGAATTTTGCTTAGGGTGCAGACTGACTTGGAATGGTTGAAATTTCTGTTTCTGGGCAGCCCCGGTGGCTCAGAGGTTTAGCACTGCCTTCAGCCTGGGGCGTGATCCTGGAGACCGGGAGTCCCACGTCGGGCTCCCTGCATGGGGCCTGCTTCTCCCTCTGCCTGTGTCTCAGCCTCTCTCTGTGTCTCTCATGAATAAATTAATAAAATCTTTTAAAAAATAAAATAAAAATTCTGTTTCCAGTTTTTCAAGGAATGTAGTCCAATTACTTAAAGGCGCAGAAATATTTAACATAGGATGGAATAAAGGTATAAATATGCAGTAGCAGCTTTAAAGCAATTTGTCCTTTTCCTCGAAAGCTTGATATTTATCCAATATGGTGAGTAGTCTTTTTCTTTCTTTTTTTATAAGTAGACTTCACACCCAGTGTGGAGACAAACACAGAGCCTGAACTCACGACCCTGAGATCAATGCCTGAACTAAGACGAGTCAAATACTTGACCCACTGAGCCATCCAGGCAGGTACCCCATACTTTTTCTTTCTGTTGATCCCCTCCCCCCATGGTCTTCTGTCTCTCTTAATAAATAAAATATAGACTTTGCTAAGCAATCAAAATGCCCCTAATTGGCAGGATTCTAATTAGTGCCTGAGATTTGTAATTTTTTGAGCTGCCTTTTCCCTTTATCCCTGCTTAAAAGTTATTTCTTAGGAGTGACAGCTGTGCCCCTTTTCCTTTAAAGCTTAATTGCTTCTGATTATTAGAAACCTTGACTAATAACAAGCATTACGTATAAAACAAGATATACTCAGTTTTGGAATGTATTTAAGTTATGATTACCCTTTCCATGTCAAACTTTTTTTTTTTTTTTTTAAGATTTTATTTATGTATTCATGAGAGAGACCAGAGAGGCGGAGAGACATAGGCAGAGGGAGAAGCAGGCTCCTCGCAGGTAGCCTGATGCAGGACTTGATCCTGTATCCCAGGATCATGCCCTGAGCCGAAGGCACTCAACCACTGAGCCATCCAGGCGTCCCTCCATGTCAAACTTAACGTTGAGAAGACATTTCTAAATTAGTTTAAGGTAATCTTATACAAAGTAGATAGATAATGCACTTGAAATTATCTTTGGTATGAGTTTTTTCCCAATCACAGTAAAATTGGGGAATTTATGATTATTAAAATTTAAAGAAATGTGCATTTATTATGTGTTCTATAGAAAGGGCTAAACCATGAAAACCTTATGATTACAGCTTAAGTTGAAGATAGGAAAAAAAAAAATACAAATGTCCAATGATTAAACTTTTTCCACTGCTGTTCACATCATGATTTGTTGTGATTAATGTATGTGGATGAGGACATAATGGAAAAAGAAAATCATAGTGGGAGAAAAAAAGCATAGATAAGATGTAGTTTTTGTATGTTGACTTATTAATGTTTTTCCTTTTAGAAATGAAATTGAAGGGTGGTTTTCTTAACATCACGTGTCAGATCTGATAAACAGTGACCCTTTTTATAGAAAGGTAAGAGGTTAATTTGATGAACAGAAAATCAGATCTTAGCAAACAGTTGATATTTGAGCATAATGTGAATATCGTACTCAATTTTTTTTTCCTTATGCTTTCAGCTTTCAAAGATGATATAATTTTCTAAATCAATAGATTTGATTCAGGGTAGGCAATTGGTAGCTGGGGTCAGGACTTGTAACCTTGATGGTCATCTTTTCTCAAAAATAATGATGTAATTCAGCCCCTGAAATAGATAGGGGCTATTAGAATATATGAAACTAGATATCATATATTCCAGGGTTTAAGTTTGCTTAACTTTTGGATGTTCTATAAATGACTCTTTAATATGTCAGTGAACGTCCATCCTATAACTTAAGCTTTATTCAAGAATAGTAGATACGTACGTAGGTAGTCAAAAGCTGGGAATCTCAAATCTAATACCACATTAATCTGTCACTAATTAGGCCTGTTGTCTTGGGGTGTTACAAATTTGAGGAATATTAAATAGAAAAATTTTTACGACTACTCAATGTTGATTTAAATTCATTATTTCATAAATTTCTACCAACATAAAAGTGATAAAAACTTCGTTTATAGGCCTTAATGAAAAGATTTACAAATAAGTGCATTCAAAAACAAAACTAAAAAATTAATAGGATGGATGCTACTGTTACACAGAAGTAAACATAGTACTGGCTCGTATGGAATAAGTTATATACACATACAGCCTTGTGCCTTGTGAGAATTGTAAAGTTTTATAATCTGGACAACAGTAGATTTGTCCAGGACTTTACTCTTTTGCAGAACTCAAGATTATTGAAATGAGGAAAGGGGGCCTAAACTCTGAAAAGGATATCTTTGGACTGTCTGCAAATCCTAATATGAAGAATTTTGTATTACATTGTCTTCAAACATTTTTCCAGCTCCAATGAGTAATTCAGTTTTTGTTTTTTATCTATGGCTAGCTTTGGTTAGTAGTTAGATTGGATTAAAAGTTGGCTGTTCTGTGAACTAATACAAGTTTTTCTTTTTAAATACAGGTAGTCCTTACTTTGCACTGTTTCCAGTTACTTGAAGATCAGTTTTCACAGTTGAGTTAAATAACACCAATCCCTCTACAACATGATTGAAATTTCAGTTACCGCGATAGTAACCAGATTGTTGCATAAGTTTTGCAGATAACTCTTTATTCCACAAAAAATTATGCATATAAAAGATGGTCAGTAAACACTTATATCGCTTCTTTCAAAGTCTCTTGGTGATTGATCACTGAACATCTAATAGTTCACACACAGAGTAAAGCATGTAGTTATGTTGCCTACTTGTTTCCCAGTGATAAACCCATGTGACAGAATTGGTCAACAAAGATGACTGGGCAGCAAAGAAAAAGTTTTAACACCAGAAATGAAATTGGATGTCATTAGAAGATTTAAAAATGGTGACAGCATAGTGAAGACAAGATAAGACCTGGGCTTACATGAAGCTATAAAATGAACCATCTTTTTAAAGTTCGATGAAGCAAGAACTTTTAGGTAAAATGCTTTAACATTTTTTAGTTTAAATTACACTAGGAACAGAAATGCATGTATGGTTGAAATGGAATGTTTACTTCTCCTTTGGATTGAGGACTGTAAAAATAAATCCCAGTCAGTTTGGCTAGTATTCAGGCCAAAGTGTTGAGGTTAGTTGCTGCACTGAAGGAAAATGGTAATTACAAGGAGACTGAAAAAGAACATCTTATTGCCTTATAATAAAGGCTGGTTTCATTGTTTACAAAGTCAGCATGAATTAATGTTCTGCTATCTGGTGAAGCTGCAAGCTCAGAGAAGCATCTGTGAAATTTGCACCCATATTCCAAGAATCACAAGTAGTCTTTGCTTTGCACAGTAGTGCAAGACTACTATGTAAAAACTTCACAAGGTTTGGCTGGAATGCAATTGGAGTTCTAGAAGATACAGATGACCATGGGAATGTTGACACTGCTGCCAATCAAGAAGTAGTTCTACATATACAGCCAGAAGAATTTAGTGAAGGCGAACATTGTTATAAATGACGAAAGCAGTTGTGTGTTGTAAAGGATCATTATGTTTCAGAGGAAGTGATGGCAGGTGAAAACCACATTAGAGGAACACTCCTATTTGATGACATTGAATGCATAAATTTTAGAGGCAAATCCAAACTCATTTGAAAGGAGTATGACAGTTTGCCAAGGTGTAGAAAAGATGCTTGCTCCATATTGTAAGTTATATGAGAAGGCAAGCAATATTAAAACTACTCTTGAGACTTTGATAAATAAAATGCTAGAATTTTCAATGTTTGTTTTAAATGTTTTAATTTTTATTTTTTAAAGATTTTATTTATTCATGAGAGAGAGAGAGACCTAGGGAGAGGGAGAAGCAGGCTCCCTCAGGGAGCCCCATGTGGGACTGGATCCCTGGATCCCAGGATCATGCCCTGAGCCAAAGGGAGACACTCAACCACTGAGCCACTCCAGGTGTCCCTGTTTTAAATATTTTTTATGTGTATAACCAACATCAAGAGAGTTTTTAATGTTTTAATAACTTTCAAGTTTACAGAACGATCATTGTTAATCCCATTAACATTGCTTTTAAGTGTCAGTTTGCATAGTCCAAGTAAGAGCTCCCTGCATTTACACCAAGCTAGGAACTCTAACCAGTTATGAACAGATTAAGTCTAGACACAAATACACTTTACCTTTATGATCCCCAGTTACAATGGACATTTTTCACACTGCCTTTGTATGCTACTATGTCAAGGCTTTGAAATTTATAGTATGGTCTCGTATTTGATTTTGAGTATTAAAGGATCGTAAGTAAAATCCTAATAGGAGTTGGCAAACTTCTTTTAAAAGGCCATACAAGGAAATACTTTAGGCTTTGCAGACTATTATGGTCTCTGTAGCAACTAGTCAACTTTGCCCATGTAGCAGGAAAACAGCCATTGACAATACATAAATCACTGAAAGTGGCTGTGTTCCAGTCATGAAACATTTCATGAAATACCATTCTTAAACTCACAGAGCCTACAAATGGGGATGGGGAGCAGGGAGGTTTGTAGTTTGACTTCTCTAATAGCAACATGTACATTAAATGATACCAAAGAATATAACTACTGCTTGAATCATTGAGTTTTGGTGAAGTTTTTCAAATGAAAACTTTCTCCATACCAATGTATGCTTTTGGGTAGTAGGGGGTCTCTGGAGGTTGGGGCAGTAGGGAATTCAGTATTGACAAATAATGAGACCACTTTTATTTTTTATAAAGACTTTATTCATAGAGACACACAGAGAGAGAGGCAGAGACAGAGGCAGAGGGAGAAGTGGGCTCCATGTAGGGAGCCCGACATGGGACTCAATCCCAAGTCTCCAGGATCAGGCCCTGGGCCAAAGGCAGCGCTAAACCACTGTGCCACTGGGGCTGCCCATGAGCCCACTTTTAAAAGACTTTTATTGGTATATCTAGGCAAACTTGCAGTTAAATAAAAATGGCTTTGTAGAACAGGAGAAATTAGCTACTGTAGCCTAAGTGATGTTTAGTCTATTTCTGTCCTAGAGAAATAAACTTGGCTTTTCAAATTGAACAAGTATAAGACATTAAAAGGTGTTCAAAAAAATGTAGTGGGAGTGCAAACATTCTCTCTAGTACTTAGAAGTGAAGGCGCTTTAGAGAAAGCTTGAGGAAAGAGACCGCTGGTTGATGGGCGTAATGGGAAGAGAATTGCTCTAGCAGGAAGACCTGGGTTCAATCCAAGTTCTGATCGTTTACCAAGTGCTTTTCCTCTGGTTTTCCTTTCTTCGCTGCAAAACAATTCCTAAACTAAGAACATCCAAGCAATAGATTAATTAGATGCCAGGGTCTGGCAGAGCCAGTGGAGTGCCAGTGACGTAAGGGCAAACCTTGGTAGGTCTCAAACCGTGCCACACGAGCTGACCGGGCTACGCCTCTGGAGTAACAAATAGGTCCACGACAGACTGACGAGCCCTTTGGTTTTAAAGAAGTTCTCGGGATCCCTGGGTGGCGCAGCGGTTTGGCGCCTGCCTTTGGCCCAGGGCGCGATCCTGGAGACCCGGGATCGAGTCCCACGTCGGGCTCCCGGTGCATGGAGCCTGCTTCTCCCTCTGCCTGTGTCTCTGCCTTTCTCTTTCTCTCTCTGTGACTATCATAAATAAATAAATAAATAAATAAATAAATAAATAAATAAATAAATAAATAAATAAATAAATAAATAAATAGAAGTTCTCAAAAAGCAGTAATACTGTAGGACCAACTATGCAATCTTAAAAAGCGAATCACATCACAAATTAGTTACTGCAGTTAGGGCCCTGCAGCCCGATTTTCACGCGATCTGTCCGGTGCTGGCAGTGTCGCCGGGCCGCCGACGTCTCACAGGACTAACGCTACGTGGCGTTCTGCGGGCCCGGGCAGAACCCTACAGCAGACCGCTACACCCGGCCAGACTTTTCTTTCTCGCGTACCCCGGGTCACCGCACCCTGGCCGTGCACGCCGTCCCTCAGAGCAGGTCTCCAGCCCCAGCAGCGAGCCGGCCCGCCGCCGGCCTTCGGCGCGCACCCAGGCCCGGGCGCCGCCTGCGCCGCTCCCGGAAGTGCCGTGGCAGGCGGCGCGCCTGAGTGGGCCGGGCGAGGCGTCGCTCCCGGAAGCGGCGCCCGGCCGGCTGGGAGGGGCTGCGGCTGCCACGTTGAAGCGGAACGTGGAGGTGGCCCTGGGGCGGGAGGAGGGGCGGCGGCGAATGCTGGGAGAGTCCGTCGGACGTCGCGCTAACACAGGAACCGGTCGCCGAGGGTCCCCGCCAGGTGTGTCCGCCTCCCCCCCCCCGTCTTCTTCGCCGGCCCTCGGGCCGTGAGGTAGAGCACCGGCGAAAGCTGGGTGCGCGGCATCGGCCGCCGCGGGGCCCCGCCAGCCTGAGGCCCGCTCTGTGGTGGCGGCGCGCCCCTGGTCTTGGTTTCGGGCCCGTCGGGACAAGCCAGGCGTCACGGCTGCTGCGGGGACCGCGCCGATCCACATCCGCCAACGTTTCCCCTGCTGAGCAGGAGCTCCCCTGAGGCTTGCGACGGGGGGTCGTGCCGGGCGGGTAACTGGGGTCTGAGGTTAGAAGGCCCCCACACCCTTGTGCACAAAGAGGTGCGGGCCCCGAGGGAGGGGGAAGGAGGCGAACCTCGGGATCACTTTGGTTGACTTTAGTTTATGATTTTTTTGTTTGTATTTGAACTGTTGCCAGGTTTAAGGGTTCATAGGTTTTCACCGGAAGGCTCCTGTCATTGAACCGGGTTTGCATTATTTTAAGGATAGTCGCCAATCTAAGCCTGTACCTCGGAGGAAATCTCATCAAGTGTTGTATGTTTTTGCTAATAAATTATTGTAATGAGAGATTGAATTACAGGGCAGGTGTAAAACGAATAAAAATATGGCATGGGCTTGTGGGCATTATGAACTTTATCAAGCAACTAATTTTATGTAGGTCTTTCTGAAACTGCAGTGATGATCTGTGCTAATATAAAAACTCTCTCCAAAACTGCCTTTTCTAACTACAGAATGCTGAAATTTGACTGTCGCCACTTGTAACTGTTCAGTAGATAATTAGAGCCTCGATCTTCTCATACCGACCCTTGTTTTCTGTACATACTGATTGTTCTGGGATTGGCTAAAGTTTACTCACAGGTTTCTAGTGGTTCCTCTGTGCTCTTTGTTTCTTACTGTTTCTTAAACAGCTCTGGGAAAGGTTTGTAGACTAAGAATTTTTGGGTAACTTGAAGTGTTTTTTGTAGTTGTGAATTTATGTTATACATGTCCAAAGTTATTTGGGAAATGTGAGATTGGAATGAATTTAGAATTAGACTGCTTAATTTTATATAAGCAGGTTCTTTTTGAAACAATAATATATAACTTATAATATAATAATAACATAAGAGTAGAAAGAAATTAGAAAGAGCAGTGATTCTTAACTTTTTGGAATTCCACTCCCTTTTTAGGATGTGATGAAAGCATTGGATCACCTTCCTAGAAAAATGCACACACACACACAGAATTCTCTATATAATTTCATGAGGTTTACAGATCCCAAATTAATTCTTGTCAGGTGATATTATTAAAATTGATTTCTACAGTGTTTTTAGAAATGTTGTCATTCTTAGGTTAATTCCAGGTCAAAAAGTTTTACTTATTAGATTCTAGATAAATACACCAGCATTTAGTTCAACGCAGTTAGTTCTTTGATTTGATTTTGGTTGAGTGAGATGAGCCTAGAACATCAATGACAGTAAATAAATACTCTAGAACAAATGTGCCCATCCATGATAAGATACTTGCCCACACAAGATGGATTTTTACCAAATGCAGTGCCAGCTAGGGATTTTTTGAGAGTCAGAGTTTGCAATTCTATTAACTCTTCCACTTTTTACTTTCTGAGTTATGAGTCATCTCTATATGTAGCAGTGTAAGTTTGGTATTTTTCAGACAATAGAACTGTTAGGTTTTAGTACTGCTTTACAGAATTAGCAGTTAAAAAGTGAGCAGAAAGAAAAAAGCTTCCACTTAATTGCATGCATTTAACTACATGCATGTTGTGGGGAGAAACTTGGGTGAAAAAATAAGTTCTAGACTGGCAAATAAGTTTTCTTCAATAGATGTATTCTTTTTTTAAAAAAAGATTTATTTATTTATTTGAGAGAGAAAGAACACAGAGCAAGCAGTGGAGGAGGGGCAGAGGGAGAGAGAGAATCCCAAGCCAACTCCCCACTCAGCATTGAGCCCTATGTGGGGCTTGATCTCAAGAGATCAAGACCTGAACCAAAACCAAGAGTTGGACACTCTAACCGACTGAGCCACCCAGGTGCCCCTTCAGTAGAGGTATTCTTGGAGATTCATTGTGATAAACTAAAATTTTAAATTGTGACTTTTGCCATAGCTGATATTTACAAGCATGTATTTACTATGTGCCAGCTACTGTTCTAAGCCCTCTGCGTAATGCCTCATTTAATTCTCACAACTCTTTTTTTTTTTTTTAAGATTTTATTTATTTATTCATGTCAGAGAGAGGCAGAGACACACAGGCAGAGGGAGAAACAGGCTCCCAGCAAGGAGCCCTATGTGGGACTTGATCCCATGACTCTGGGATCATGCCCTGAGTGGAAGGCAGACAGCCACTCAGCCACTGAGCCACCCAGGCGTCCCACAGCAACTCTTCTTATGCAGACTTTTGTTATACTTATTTAACCAAGTGGGTAGCCAAGACACACATAGGTAAAGATACATGCCTTTTAGAGCATGTCAGAGCT